GTCGAATTCCCAAGCTCAGGTCACTTCAGGAAAGTCTGACCTCCCAGGTTGGTGCTAATGTCCAGCATCATTCTACACTGAGACCCAGAAGGGACATGGAGCCAGCAGCCCCTGGGAGACTCTGAGGGGCACGTGCAAGGGAGGAGGCATCAGGGGAGGGGCTGTGTGGGGTGCTTGGCAGTGAGCAGGATGGATGGACCGAGGTCCGTGGCCCTGTCCAGTCTCAGCCACCTCTTTACACACAACTGGGAGGGGCAGACCATCAGGGGTATCTATGCCCAGGGGCACAGGGGCCACTCAGGGGTCCAGATGCAGTGTCTCAGCTTGTGTCAGTGAGTCACCTTGTACATTTTCAGCAGCAGGAGCCTGAGGACAAATACATTTGTTCAGGACATTAGGGGAAAGTGCACACCTCACAGGCTATACCTTAGAACAAATGTTCCTGCCCCTCATGACAGTTCTCCAAAAGTCAAGGAGTTGACATCCTTGGGAAGGATCCTCATCCTAAAATATCAGGAAAGGAACCTGACACGTGGAGACTAGCTAAGGTCTCGGATCCCCTTGTCCTGTTCCAGATATACTGTGTTTTTTGCCACAGAGGGAGCAGGCAATGGTCCCCATTGCTGTGCACAGACAGACTCACAATTGACAGGGAATCAGTTTCCAGCCCGGTGAGCAACTGAGAGTTCACTGCATAGATGCAGGGAGGGCAGACACCTGAATACAGAAGCTGGGTCCTGACAGGAGGGGCCTGGAGGCCTGGGTGAGGGAAGGAGGAAAACTTGACGCCTAGTGAGGGGAGGGCAGGAGAAAGGAAAATGGGGCCTTGAGGTGGGAATTCTAGCCTACTAGTTACTTCTTGGTTATTTAGAGAAAATCACTTACCCTCTCCCTGTTTCCTCATTAGGCAGAAGGGAGCAGAGGCTGCAGCTGATTATTCCGAGTGTCTGGTGAGGAGCCCATGTCACACTCACCCAGGGCCTGGTCTCCATCAGGGTCAGAAGCAGTCATGCTGGTGACTGTCAGCACATGCAGGATGACATTCATCCTGGGCACCAGGGGGCGCTGTGGTCCTGTTTTGAAGCCCTAATTAGTCCAGACACTGGGCTATGTTCAAGTGCACTGGGCATGACTGATGCTCCCTTTGAAGTCACTTCTGCTGTAAAACCAACTCCCCAACGAAACCCACACCTGTTCCTTCTTCTGACCTCAGGAAATTACCAGCATGAAGACTTTAGGCTCAGGGCTCAGACAATACTGAGACAAACACCCTGGGACTGGAGAGAGATTGCATTGACTGCCCCGCCTCCTAGAGCTGCAGGCAGAGAGGATAAGACAGGAGCCTGGGGAGGCCAGTGCAGCTGGGCAGCCTCAGGGCAGAGCTCCTGGAAGCCTCCACCATGGCCTGGGTGTCCTTCTACCTCCTGTCCCTCATGGTCTCCACAGATCAGTGTAGCCCAGACACTCAGAGCTACCCCTTCACATTATTTCCCAGCCTGCACAGACCTAAGGACTGTCTCCCCATTGTCATTCAGCATGGTTCCTGCATTTTCTCTTCCAGGTCTCTGTGCTGTGCCTGTGCTGATCCAGCCCCCTTCTGCATCTGCCTCCCTGGACCCTCACCCAAGATCACCTGCACCCCGAACAAAAGTTCAGTACCTTCCCCATTGCATGGTATCAACAGCTGCCACGAGGGTCCCAGGGAATGTGATGTATCTTAGGAATGATGGAGGCCACAGCAAAGGAGAGGGGATTCCTGATTGCCCTCAGGCTCTGGCTCAGGGGCTGACTGCTACTTGACCATCTCCAACATCCAGTCTGAGGAGGAGGCTGAATATCACTGTAGTGCTGACTTTAATACAGGGCCATAGGGTGACGCCACAGTGACACAAAGGGGAAGTGAGGTCAAAAAGCCCCTCCCCCAGGGCTCTTCCCCATAAGGGGTCAGGGTGAGCTACTCCCCATTTCATGGCAGCACCCTAAGAATTTTACTCTTCTCCTTTAACCCTTAGGTTCTGACCTTCTCCCCAGACAGCAGGAGCAGAGAACACGGGTCATCATTGAGGTCACTTGACCACACAGCATCTGTTCACTCGTCCCCATAAGTAACCTTTGTTCTCTATCCAGTTCTGGGCAATTTCAAATAAAACCATTACAGCATTTATTAACAGGTTTTCCCCTGATCAGAGGTCCGGAGTCTCCCCACTTCCAGCCCTGACGCAGACTCTGCAGCCTGAGTGTCAGGAGAGGTTTAGGGCTCAGGGCCAGGCTGTCCTGGTGTTTGCTGCACAGGGCTGTGAGCTGAGGAAACAGGGAGGAAGGACAGAGAGAAGGAAACATTTGCTCCATTTGTGAAAAGGAAAACTCAATCATTGAAAAAGTGCTCAAAATTTTTGAGTAAAATCGCTTTTGGATGGTGAGCACCGCACTTAACAGTCAGGAAAGTGCCAGGAGGGACCTGATGCTGCCGCCTCCCTGACTCGGGCTGTTCTCTGTCCTCTGGACACCTGCACCCCCTCTCCGTGAGCGAGTGCCCCTGGGAAACGGCACCTGCCACAGTTCCTGTTTTCCTTATTGAACCACCGTTTCCAGACACAAACACCCTCCCCGTTTTAAACAGTCTGTGAGTTTGGACACAGCGCACGGAGGGGTCGCGCGGCCACAGTCTCCACGCAGAACAGCACAAGCCCTCTCTGTCCTTCCCCGGCCCTGGGCGGTCACGCCTCTGCCCCAGCGCTGCCAGAGCTGATCCTTGCCTGTCCCCCGAGTTGGGCCTTAGCAAAAAGTCATAAAATGGAATCACACATGGGAGCTTTTATTTCTGCTTTTGTTCAGCACAAAGCATCTGAAATTCTTTCCTGCTGCTGTGTGAACCCATAATTCATTCTGTCTCCATGCTGAGAAGTTTCCTAAGAGGGATGAGCCTCAGTTTATTGACCATTCCCCATAATTAGCCTTTGTTCTCTGTCCAGTTTCAATATGGGCAATTTCAAATTAAACTTTTATAACATTTACTTTTTAAATATATATTTAATTTATTTATTATTTATTCAAGAACTGGGGTATAGGCCAGATGTGCGGGAGGGTGAGAGGATTCACCAGAGACAGAGCCAGGAACAGAACACACAGCTGACTGAAATGCACTCTTGAGTAGAGCAGTGGAGGAGGAGAGGAGAGAGGAGAGGTCTGCTGCGCCATGTGGGTATCTCCCCGGCAGTCCAGGTGTAGAGGGTCAGGACCTGGACACAGTGCAGGTTTTCTTTGATCCCATGCAGACCGGGGAAAGGAAGAGTCAGAGTACTCAGTGGTTTTGCAGGTTTTTTATTGGGGTTCACCACACATATGGCAGGCAGGGGTGCTGGGGGGCCAGGAGGCTGGCAGTCCTCCCAGCCCCCAGCAAATCCTCACTCTATCTGGGCTCTCTGGCGTTCTCTGCTTCTGCTGCTTCTTCTCTGATTCTCTCTCGGCTACTCTTCCGGCTTCTGCTGCTGCTGGCATCCCCGTGACGCCGCCCTTAAAAGCAGTCTCAGCCCAGGTGAATCCCATCTACCTAGGCCCACACCCTACTCCAGGTGCCCGCCATCAGGCATGTATTCAGGACCTTGAGGATCCATCATCTATCCTGATGGCGGGAGGGCAGAAAAGCCTGACATTTTTCCTTACCCTACACCGGGATGGAATCCATACTTTGGACAGCTTCACAGTGCTGCACTCACCAGCCTGTGTCACCAGGGAGGCACCCTTTATAACATTTATTTACAGGCTTTTGGTCGACATTGTTTTTATTTCACTTGGGTAAGTACAAGGAAGGGAATTGCTGAGTCACGTGGCAAATAAATGATTAACTCCCCAAGAAACTGCCAAATTGGTTTCCAATGTGGAAGCTGCTTTTGTGCTTTCATTACCACCAGCCACTGATAAGACTTGCAGCTGTTCTGCATTCTGCTAGCAGCCAGCTCAGGCAAACTGTCTCCTCAGGGGTTCCTGTAAGGATGAGAAGGTGTGGACAAATCTGAGGTGTTGAGGGGGAAGGGAATGAGGAAACACTAACACTTGTTCATGGTGCAAGTATCTCCTGCTGAGGGTCTCAGCAGTTTTTTATTTATACATCTTGAGCTAGCAAGCAGTGGGAGTACATCAGCAAGTGCTTTTTAAGTAAGAAAAAAAAAAAAGGACTAACAATTGAGGTATTTTTTTCAAGACTGGCCACACTGTCCTGGGGACCTTTGACCCCTTGCTGAGGTGGTAATGTTAGGGGGAAAAGGATGTCCCAAAGTTATTTCCATATAGGCTTTGTGGACTCCACCCCCACCCCAGGTCAAAGCCAAAGACACTGGGAACTCCAAATCCCATCACCACCAAAGGGAAGGTGGCTGGGACCTGAGGGTGGGGTTAAGCAGCCAGGTGGATAGAAAAGGCAGACATGTGGGCTTTGGGGGGACCCCATTTTGGCTCTCCACCAGCTCGCAGCGTCAGGCCAGCTCTGAGAGTGACTTTGGGTTTCCAGGTCGTCGGATCGGGTAGGACGCATTAAAGACTTTATTTCCCTATTTTCTCCCTGAGTTGTACATTTTCCTTATTTCCTTTCCTCTTGTAAATAAACCTTTTATTAACCTTTTTGTGTGTGTCTGTAGTAGAGTATTCATAAGTCCCTTTAAAGTGTGCAGGTGAGGACCCACAGCCAGGAACCCATTTAATATCGAGGTTGCTCTATAACAGTAACAGCCATTTCACTTAGTTCTAAAGGTAAGTACAATTACCACAAAAAATGTCCACTAACAATTATTTAATTTTCACTGCCCAGTAATCATTCTGTTAATGCTAAAAAACAGCAAACAGCAAAAAACTTCTATGATTAAAACTTAATTTATTTATAACTGCTAAATTAATAAGTAATTAAAATTTATAAAATTCCTAAATCTTAAACATTAAAAAACATAATTACCTTATATAATGGTAATCGAGTGCAATTACTGCTAAAATCAAAAAACTTCTTATTCATATAACTAATCTATTTTAATTTAAGAAAAGTAGAAAAAATTAAAATTAAAATTAAAATTAAAATCCCAGTGCTGCATAAGTTGCACTCACCCTTACATAACCCAAGCTTCAAAAGAAAAAAAAAAAAAGAAAAGGGAAATTCATTTTACTCTTTCAAGCTATGTTTTCATCTGTTACTTTCCTGATTATGTTGACAATTAACTACTGTTTCTAACTTTAACTGCTCTCTCTAACTTTAAAATTCCTCTCCAGAGGGTCTCTGTCTTAAAAGACCACAATTGTACATCAAGGACTTGGCGGGGAATGTTTACAGCCTTTAGTTTCCAGAACAGTGTAAGTGTAGCATATCACTTGTTACAATGAAGCCAAATTCTGAATCACTGCCTTCAGCAGAAAAATACTAATTGTGTCAAAATGTACTATTTATATTATGCAGTGTCATTGTTGCCAAATTAGTTATTTAATATTTTGTCATGCCACATTTGCAGTTTTACTTCTAAATGCATATATTAACAATTGCCACATTCAGTAGAAGCCAGCCATAAACAAATGGGAAGAATCTAGCAGGAGTTAGCTAATGAGATTCCTGACTTCAGGAATCTGCCCCCTGCCCAGACCTTTATCAGAGGACATGAGTAGCATGGCCCTGGCAGCATTCTCAGTCTTGCTAGAAACTTTCAGATTTTTTTTTTTCTCTAAAACCATTCTCTTAGGCCTGTCATGACACCTCATTATGTTTTGAATATTCACTGTTATACTGACTTGTGATATCTATTCAAGTGCTTGTTGTCTGTGTATCTTGATTGGCAAGGTGTTTGCTTAAGCATTTGCTCAATTTTGAAGTTGAAATTGACCTGGTTTGCTTGTATTCATTGATGTGGGTGTGTCTTCAGTTCTCTGTGATGTTATCACTTGACAGGCTCATGTTTCCCCCCCAGTAGTGACCCCACAGCCTCATCACCATGAGCATCCACCCTTGTTGCCCTTTCATAAAAACATCCACTTCTACCTATGGGTCCCTTCCTGTGCCTCTGAGCCCTAACATCCTCTGATTTTTCTCCATTTCCAATCTTTTATAATTATATATAGAAATAAACAATTGAATCAGATAATATGCTACATTTGGGAATGGCATTTCTCTTAGATGATTGCTGTAACATCACCATAATTATTGTAATAATAATTCATTCTTTTTCATGGCTTAGTAATTTAATATTCCATGTCTCTGTTGTAGGAATGTTTGTTTAACCACCACCCCATGAGGGACAACTGGGGTGTCTTATGGGCAGAGTGTTGTGGACATTGCTGTATAGGTCTTTGCTGTGAACATGTTTCCCTTTTATGAACTAAATGGTGTGTCTGGTAATTGCCAGTCACATTTATTAAGAAGCTGATGAACAAGAGTGCCAGGGAGAGGGTCCAAACCAGGGAGGGAAGAGCACGAGAGACTGTGCTGTTGGATTGTTAGGGGGAAAGCTAATTCCATACAGGCTTTGTGGACTCCACCCCCAGTCCAGACCAAAGCCATCAGGACAGTGGGAAAGACAAATCCCATGACCACCAAAGGGAAGGTTGCTGGATCCTGAGGGTGGGATTAAGCAGCCAGTTTGGTATAAAAACCAGACACGTGGGCTTTGGGAGGTTCCCTTTTTGGCTCTCTGCCAGCTCCCAGCCTCCACCAGCTCTCAGAGTGCCATTGGGTTTCCAGGTCAGCGGATTGGGTAGGACACATTAAAGACTTTATTTCCCTATTTTCTCCCCAAGTTGTACATTTCCTCATTTCCCTTTCCCTTATAAATAAAACCTTTTATTAACCTTTTGTGTGTGCCTGTAGTGGAGTATTAATAAGTCCTTTCAAGTGCACGGGTGAGGACCCACAGCCAGGCAACCCATTTTATATTGGGGCTGTTCCGTAACAGTTTGGCACCCAACGTGGTTTCCAAGCTACACCCATGGTTGACCAGCTCAAAGTAACTTTCCTTGCATTGGTCACCATAAGTGCACTAGGTCTGCAGGACACCCAGTGAAAATCTTTGTTTCACATCTTGAAAAGTCTGCTTTTTTTCTCCCATGTGTACGGCTCTTGTGGGTGTGTTTTTGACGCAAACATGGCCTCAACCATGAGCTTAAGCAGTTTTATCCCTAACTTCAGTTCTTTCATTTTTTTTTCTGGCCTTGAGTTTAAGTAGTCTTTTTCTGTTAAATATTACCACCAGTTTTATAAATGTAAATATGGCATATGACACATGATTTTACTTCTGTATACATATGTGGGCAGTTTACAAGCCATCCCTTTACAGTCTGTGCTTCTGGATGTTTTATTGGTATGTGTGCAGGCGCCATTTGCTACATTCTTATTTCTATGAGAGGTAGATGTTCTACTTCACATACCGAGAATTTGCTGCAACCAATTCAAACTCTTAGCTATGCAACAACACAATCAGGCTTTTGCTTTAACTATTAAGAATGTGAGGGATGAAAACCATAATGTTTTTGAGTCAGCTTTTAAAAGCATGCAGGATCAAGTGCAACAACAAAATCAGACTTTTGATTTAATTATTAAGAGTGTGAGGGATGAAAAACATAATGTTTTTTAGTCAGCTTTTAAAAGTATTCAGGATCAAGCTTTTAAAAGTATAAAGGACCAGATACAGGCCGCCCTCCATAAATTGGATATGGCAGAGGCTCAGCTGATGGCACAGAGAAGAGATAAACCTTCTCCTTCCCATGAGGACTGCAAGAGGGCGGAGTTAAAAGAGGAGGAGTATCATTTGCTAAATACCTTAAATACATCAGGACAAAGTCCTTCTCCAAGTGATGAAGCCCCTCCCGAGTCCCTTCCCGTGCAGACTCCTGAGGCTTCATGGCCTCCATTGCTCTCCGGGGAGGAAACTAAAATGGCGTCTCCTCCCCACACTAGAAGCAGCACCCATTTTGGCAGGAAGGATCACCTAAGAGGATGGCAACCTTGTTTGCTTCTATCTTTGTCTCCCATTGCCCTAAATGGGCAGCTATACAGCCAATGTTACATATTTTATTACGTCTAGATGAGTGGAGGATGGTAGTCAGGAAAGCCAGGAAGGAGGGTGACCATCTCCACCAACAGGATAGACAATTCTCAGAGCCAGAGATTGTTGTCCCAGAGGTAGATCCTGGATGGGACCCCAACAATGGAGGAATGGCGATGTTGGACCTGTACAAAAAAATGTTTATTGGTAGAACTGGAGCAGGGAATCCCCAAACCAAAAAAAAAATTAACAAAATATTAGAACTTGCACAAGGGGCTAATGAGGATCCATCAGAGTTCCTTGAGAGGATTATTCAGACGTATACAAACCACACGGATATAAATCCAGATGACTCAGAAAATGCTTGTTTGATCACTATGGCATTCATCACATATAGTGCTCCAGAAATAAGGAAAAAGTTAACAAAGGTAGACAGTGTCACAGAGATGAGTCCGTCCCAGGTAGTGGACTTAGCATTTAATGTTTATAATAATAGAGAGGACAGGAGACCAAAACCTGCAACTGTTTTCATACAAAGAGAGCACAGGACAGGGTTTCGGGGAAACAGTAATGGACTGAGATGTGAACCCCTAAGAAATAATCAGTGTGCTATCTGCAGGAAAGAGAGATGTTGGAAGTACAGTTGTCCCAGGTTAAAGGGAAGAGGCAGATGCAGTAATTACAGAAGGCAGGATAGAAGACTGAGGACACCACGACAGGATGATTCACGCAGGGGTTACAGGAGGGAATATAGGAGGAGCACACAGAACCGGGAACCAAGGAGAGAGGAAAGAAGACAGATGTTAGCACAGAGTAGAGGCTCAGATGATGATAGGGAATATGGACAGAGAAGGAATCAAGAGCCCAGTACAGAGGACAGGAGACAAATGATAGCACAGAGTAGAGCCTCAGGTGAAGATAGGAGGGAATATAGACAGAGTAGAAGGAATCTGGAGCCAAGTGCAGAGGAAAGGAGACAAATGATAGTTCATGGAGAAGTTTCAGATGAAGAATAGGGGTGTCCCAGGGGCTCCACTAGATCTTAAGAAGCCCATTAAAATAACACCCTCAGAGCTCCGGGTAACCCTCACTGTGGGGTATTGTCTGATTGATTTCTTGGTGGACACTGGAGCGACATACTCAGTTTTGAATTCGAAATTAACTAAAATGAGCAAAGAGACTGTAGCAGTCACTGGGATTACAGGGAGGCCACAACAGAAACCCTTCCTACAACCTTTGGAGTGCTGGCTGGGCACCAAACAGCTCCAGCATAGCTTCCTGTACATGGAAGAGTGTCCAAACCCTTTACTTGGTCGTGACCTTTTAAGTAAGCTCAATGCACGAGTTATATTCTCACCCCAAAATCAGAGGCTTCACCTACAGGTACCTCCAGAGCATGCTCTGTGGTTCCAGATGTTACTTACTCAAGATGCTCCACCAAAAGGTGAAAATTTACCTCCAGAAATTGTTGAAAGAGTAAGTAAATGGGTATGGGCTGATGGAACCCCAAGACGTGAGAAAAATGCAGAGCCTGTAAAGATAGAAGTGATAGAGGGGAGCAAAACCCCAAGAAGGAAACAATACCCTTTAAAGGAGGAGGCCTTGAGGGGAATTGAGCCAGTATTGAAAAGGTTCCTTCAATCTGGACTCATTCAGCCCTGCCGCTCACCGTACAACACTCCGATTCTGCCAGTGAAGAAACTCCATACAGGCGAGTACCACTTTGTCCAAGATTTAAGGGCTATTAATGACATTGTTCAGGATTTACATCCCACTGTGCCTAATCCGTACACCCTATTAACTGCCATACCTGGTGACTTTGGGTAGTTTTCGGTATTAGACCTGAAGGATGCATTTTTCTGTATCCCAATAGATGTCCAGGATTGCCGCGGACCAGCCTCCAGCAAAATGTCGTGTCAGGGGTTCCTGAAAGGATGAGAGGGTGTCAGCGAAAACGAAAGGGCTGAGGGGAAGAGGATGAGGTAGTGAGGAGACACTGACACTTGATGAGGTGCAAGTATCTTCTGCCGAGAGACTCAGCAGGTCTTTACTTACTCATTTTCAGTAATCAGAAAAAAATACATTATCATGTGTAAAGCAGAAACAATTAGTGTATTTTATTCCCATGGACCACTGGCTCCTACGGGTCCCAGCTAGACGGTAGCCTTCAAGGTTAATAGATAAAAAACCAAACCTAACACTAAATCTTATTATTTCAGCTAGACAATTACCTAAGACAGTTGATAGCCGCCAGTACATCCCTATCAGCTAAAGCCTAAGCATCCAAAGACTCTCTATTCTTATGGCCTTCAGCCAGAGACCAGCTGCTGCTCAGCTATCAGAACCTTTTCTACCTAGAAACTTCTTAACACAGTTAACTTCATTTAAAAACTTTCCTAAGAACTACTAAATAAAAAGGAACTTCTAAAAAAGCAGAAGAAGGACTTACTGTAACAGTTGTGCTGGTTTGCTTGTCAGATATGTACAATAAATTGTCTCCCATTGTTAAGTGGGCCAAATTGTGTAATAACTAATTTCTAAACAGGTAATTTTCCATGTCAATTGCTTGCAGTCTACTGATACATATAATTTATTGCCTAATGTACTTTTCTGATAAATTTTTCTCCTTTTATGACCAAGAACAAAAAATAAAGGGATGTCAAATCTTCAGCCCCATGGTATGAGGCACAAGGAATCTTCAGCCCCACAGTATGAGGCCCTTTAACTTCGGCCCCACTGTGTGAGGTTCTTTGAGCTTTGCTGCTTGTCAGTGTCTTATCTGGCTGGGGCATCAAGGCCTCCTGCAGCACAGGATCAACTGCTTTTTGCCTTTGAGTGGCAGGACCCTAAGTCCAAGAGCACTCTCCAGTATTGCTGGACTGTGCTTCCACAGGGATTTAAGAACTCCCACTATTTTTGAGGAAATACTGGCCAGGGATCTCAGGAAGATTCAATTAAAACAGGGTGTCTTATTGCAATATGTAGATGATTTATTGATTGCAAGTCCAGACTATGAATCTTGTCTGGAAAAGACCATAGTGGTACTGAACCACCTGGCAGAATGTGGCTACAAAGTGTCACCTAACAAGGCACAGATATGTAAACAAACAGTGACATATTTGGGGTTTGAAATTAAGAAAGGCAGATGGAGCCTGATGACAGAAAGAAAACAGGTAATCTGAGTTGACATGAAGGCAGGGCCCCTACAGCAACAGTCAGGTTCCGACTTCAAATTTGCAGATGAACAAAACGCCCCAACTAGGGCACTTGAACAGTGGGATGTGCTTCAAATAACTGACATGGCCTAACCCCCCATGCCCCATATTCTATCTTACTGCACTCTGCCAGGAGACCAGGGGGTCACACTGGCACAGGGGAGTGCTGGACTCTGTTCAACACTCTCTCCTTGGACAGGGGCTCTGGAGTGACTGGGAAGGAGTTTCCTGGGATGAGCTCTCCTCCACCAGCAGGGGGCAATAGAGCTGCAGGCAGGAGCCCCACGACAACGTGGGCTCCCCAGGAGCCTCAGTGGGAGACCAACCTGCCCAGGGGCCTGGGAACCAGAACAGCTTCAGGGGAACTCAGCACAGCCAGGCCTTCCCCCAGGCTGCTGTGACCATATTCTGAGGGTGAGAATCACACTGTGCTGCCAGGACACTGAAGGGACCAGGATCCAGGGGGCATTGCCTGGGAAATGCAGCCATAGAGCCTGTGCCCAGGGAGATGACCCTCTTTGCTGGCAATCAGGGGCACCCTCACCACTGCCCACCACATCACCTCTCCTTCCTCTGGCTGACTGGCAGCTTGGGCTATACCTACTTTGCTCAGGTCATGTCAGGAGGGGCAGGCCTGCTTCTGGGGACACCCTGGCCCTGAATGGAGATTTGTAGCCTCAGTTAAGAGACCCTCTCCAGAGGGAAGTGATTCTCCCTTCTCTGGTCATTGTTTGGTCATAAGCTGTCCCTGGCTGAGTTAAGGATCCATGCACCCTGGGGAACCCGTGACTATTCAGTCCCCTGAGCTCTCCCTCTGTGCAAAGACCATGACCCTTGTGGCCTTCAGAGACCATGGTGCCTAAAGAGGGTTTGTTAGCCAGGTCTGGATTTCAAAAGCTTCACAACTTATGTAAAACAGTAGTGAAATCCTAGAGTGTCATTTTCTGTGGTGCGTGAGCTGTCACAACAGTGACCCAACACCATGTGGAAAAAGAGACTAAGCTGTGATCACTCTTCCAGAGTGGATGGTCGTTTAACAAGGAAACTTCCATGCCCTCAATAATGAACAAGCAGCCAATGACACAGGCCACACATGCACATCCTTACGACAGGCCCGGGATGGGACAAAGTGCACCTGGGGTACACGGGAGGACGACAGAAGGAGAAAGACGATGACTGGGTCTGGGGACCCCCATCCCCTACATCACTGGATTCTGATCTCTCTTATGGTACAGCTCAGCCCCAGCCCAGTTTCCTGGAAGACCCTGCAGTCTCAGCCAGCCAGGACAGACCCCAGGTGTGGGCTATGTGGGGTCCCACCCCAGGAGGTGACTGTGGTTACAGACCTTGGAGGCCAGGCTGCCTTTCTGACATGACGAGCATGTGGTAGATGCTGACGCTCAACCCAGGAGCCTCAGTCACCTGTTCTACCCCACAGCTGTTCCCCATCTTAGTGAGGAGCCCCAGGGGAGGGGTAAATTTCTACAACAACCACACCCTCCCACCCCCCAGGATCCCAGAAGGCATTAAGAGTGGGTTCTTAGATCCACCCTTAGGGCCTGGATACCAACAGTTCCCTTAGCCCAAGGGGCCGAACACGCCTCCCTCTACCGCCAGGGCCCTCCAGTCCTAACCCAGGCATTACTTTCTGACTGTTCTTTCATCTCACAGTGTCTTTTCAGAGGGGATAGGTTAGAAAAAAAGAGCTCCACTGAGTTAGGAAATGAAGGTCAGGGGACAGCTCAGGGACATGGGGAGACAGTCCAGGGGATGTGGTGCCCAGCACCAATATCTAGAGAGCAGGACAGATCCAGGTCAGTGAACAGCAGCTGAGAAACACAAAAAATTCAAAGCAAAGCCGTATCAAAGGAAGAACAAATCCAACACCTACCACCCCAGCAATAAAGGCAGCCTCTGCTATCCCACCACTGGCAACTCATTTTGGAGTCCCCTCCCAGTATCAGGAGCTTTGCTTTGCTGCTTCTGCTTCAAACAAAGATTTGTCCTGCATTGCTCCTAATGAACTTTGCAAACTCCCCGAACTTTTCTCCTCCTTTCAAAGTGACCACCAGCTCCCTGTTCCTTCTGGAACTGGGGAAGCCAGACTGCACATGTGACTATTGAGGGTAGCCTTGGCACTGGCATTGTCACTCAGCACTAGCTCCCTGGAGGCCTCTTAGTTATTGTTGCCTTAAGAGGTCATTCCTTTTTGATTATGCTCAGTGTGATAAGTCAGAAGGAAAGAGAAAAATGTTAGATGGTTCCTCTTATAGGAGGGAATAGGGAAACCAAACAAGGGATCAGGAGGAAAAATACAAAACTAGGAGGCAATATATAAATCAGAGTCCTTCAACTGGGGGGGGGGTGAGGGAGAGGGATCAAAACAGGGGAATAAAGAGCACAAGAGACTATGGTGACGGGGTGACGGTTCATGGGGACTTAGTGGTGGGAATAATATGGGGATTACACCTGAGAGGCCTGCCGGAAGCCAGCTCAGGCAAACTGTCGTGTCGGGTTCCTGTAAGGATGAGATGGCGTGGACGAATCTGAGGGGGGTGAGGGGGAAGGGAATGAGGAGACGCTAACACTTGTTCCTGGTGCAAGTTATCTCCTGCCAAGGGTCTCAACAGTTCCTTATTTGTACATTACAAGCAAACCGTGGGAGTACATGAGCATATGCATTAAAGCAGGAAGATAAAAATCATTACATCTTTCTCAAGAACAGCCAGGGGACTATTTGCCCTCTTGCAGAGGCCATGACATTTATTATTCTTTGTTTTAAAGAAGGCACAGTTGCTAAACAAAGGTGTTCTTAGAATAGTCATTTATCTTTAACATCCAAACAATTATCTTATTACTAGCAAAAACTTATGTTACTGAAACTAACATTTCTATGTTCACCATGGTGAACGCTTAACTAAGGGCTAGGAGGGTTAAGGGACGGAAGTTATCAGGGGAAATAAGACAAAGGGATTTTTTCTAACTATCCTATAAACTTAAGACTAACATACAACCATATGATTAAAGCAAAATCAGAAGGCTTTCATATAGAAATCATCATCTAATATTGTTTTAATAAGATTGATTCAATATTAAGAACCATGGGCCAAGAGGGTGTCAATGCCGGCAAGCTGCACCAAATTTTCCCTAAACCCAACTCTCAATTAAGGGAGGAATTCTCCTAATCTAACAAAAGAGTTTTTCTACCTATTACTCCTGTACTTATCTCCTCAGCCTTGTTTCCATATCTAACTTTACGATCAAGGGAAAATTCCTTTTTCTGTAAGATTGCTGATTTTTTTTATATATTTATTTATTTATTTATTTATTTATACAAGCACTGGGTACAGTCAGAAGCACAGGAAGGTGAGAGAATTCACCAGAGCAGGTAACAGAACAGGCAGACTGATGAAGTACATTGCTGAGGGGAGCAGCAGGTGTGGCAAGAGAGGTCTGAGCGCCATGTGGGTCCCTCACCAGTGGCAGGGGATGGAACCGGCGCTACAGAGACTGCGGACAGCTTTGTAGACCAGCGCTCAATTGCTGCACCACCTCCACTGATTGTTGTTTTAAGGAACTACAAATATTTCATCAGAGGCAGGGCCGGAGATGGTTATGGCTTTTAGTTCCCAGAGTAGTTAATACGTGACATATCAGTTGTTCTAACATTGACAGTTTCCAAGTGCACTGTTTGTGCTACCATGGTCATTAGCTCAATTAGTCACAAAATTGTTGTTGACTTACCTTAGGTGCATACTTTAACAGCTGCCATGACAATTGTCACATCCAGGGGAATCAGCCCTAAACAAACAAAAAAGATCCAGCAGGAGTTGGCTATGGAGCCTCCTGACTTATCAGGAATTTCCTTGTACTCAGAGCATGGCTCCTGCCTGCCACTCAACTGCTATCTCTAACTTCAAAGTAAAAGAATTTCCTTCTACATATGGCCCTTGCCTTAGAATACCACGTATCCATATCAAAGACTTAGCAGAGGGATGTTTACAGCCTTTTGATCCTGGAAGTTTTTTCACTTGTTAATGTAAGGCCTAATGTTGAATTACTGCCTTTTGGCAGAGAATTACTAATTATTTAAAATGTGTTATTCGTATCATGCAGTGCCATTTGCCATCAAATTGGTTATTTAGTAATACAGTATTTCCACTACAGAAAAGTTAGCTATAAACAAATGAAAAAAAATCTAGCAGGAGTCAGCTAATGAGATTCCTGACTTTTCAGGAATCTGCCCCATGCCTGGACCTTTGTCAGAGGACATGAGTAGCATGTCCCTCACCAGAGGAGAATGAAAAATGATGTAAAATTTGTTTAGTCTAAAAGTAGGAAAAAAAATCCTTTTCTTTGCTGAGTAGGATTCCATAGTTCATGAACCAAAATCTGGTTTACCAACACCAGGCCTGGCATCTGTTTTCTCTCTGGACAGCAAATGGAGAAGCTTTTATGCACAAGGTGTCATGATTATTAGTGATTGGACCTTCTGCGAATATGACTTCTCAGGATCTGAAGTATATGCCTGAGAGAACCACCACAGGCCTGTGTGGGAAATGCAGGTTTTGTTTCATCAGACACCTGCAAACTCTATCCAGCATTGTGGTTAATTTCACACCATCAGTCAGGTGTGAGAGCCCAATTTTCCACACTCTGTCAGTATTTGGGGTCCTCTCTTCTACATCAGCCAATCTGACAGCACAAAGGGACACCCTCTCCTCAGGTTACAACAGTGTTTTCCAGATGATGGATGACAAGCTCCTGCTCCTGCTTCTGCCGTCCTATATCCTCCTCACAAAGTGTTGGTTCCACTTAGTCTCCTTTCCTCAGTGGTTGTGTCTTCACTGTGTGTGATCACATTTCCTAGTATCCTCTCTGCACTTGCTGATCATGGATACGTCTTTGTACTCTGTTCTCTTGCCTGTTGCTTGTTTCTTTTATCCTGTGGAGGAGGTTTTATAAATCAAAAGACAGAAGTTTTGATGAGGTCAGTGTATTCATCTTCCTTTCACATATCACGTGTCTGGTGTCATCAAAGTACCGCAACTCAATCTTTCATTCCAGTGATGCTTCCTGTATGTTCTTAAACATAAACAAGAGCTATTACCTGAGGTTACATGACCCAGTTCCCTGTGTGGGGATGGAATTGGGCTTCTCACATAGTGTGACTCCTGTCCCCACAGCTCACTCCTCAGTCTGCAAAGTCCACACGAACATTTGTTTTCCTCACTAGAGAGAGTGATGAGGGTTGTCCCAAACCAGTGGGTGGTCCAGGGTACAGATGGAATTGTGTGTGTGTGTGTGTGTGTGTGTGAGAGAGAGAGAGAGAGAGTGCTGTGTCCACAGGTCTTAGAATCTCTAGTACACACCAGGCACTAGGTTGCACTTCACAGTCTTCCATGAGCTGAGCTCTGTCTGTTCTTCAGAGCCCCTAGCAAGGCCACAGGGAGGTAGGAAGTAGATTTGCATGCCACCCGAGGATAAGAGAGGCCCTGAGCACCCATCCCAGCTGCAGGCTTAGACGCTGATCCTGCTACATCTGCACCATGGCTTGGAGCCCTCTCCTGCTTCCCCTCCTCATTATCTGCATGGGTACTGGCCCCCAGGAATCAGCCCACACAAAAACAGGGAGCAGCCTGGGCCAGGCCTTCAGCTCAGAACAGTGGATGGAGTGGGACTGTGACCTCTGGTAGTGACCCTCATCCTCACACTCACCTCTCTTCTCTCCTCTTGCAGGTTCAGTGGTCACTGCTGAGCTGAGTCAACCACAGTCAGTCTCTGTGGCCTTGGGACAGACGGCCAGGATCACCTGCCAAGGAATAAACAGTTTTGCTAGCTGGTACCAGCAGAAGCCTGGCCAGGCCCCTGTGATGCTCATTAATATTCTTGATAACAGGCCTTCAGGGATCCCTGCCCGATTTTCAGGCTCCACCTCAGGGAGCACGGCCACCCTGACCATCAGCGGGGCCCAGGCTGAGGATGAGGCTGACTATTACTGCCTCTCACCAGGCAGCAGTTATAATCATCCACAGTGACATGGGGCCATGGGGAAGTGAGGCATAAACCCCGTCCCCATCTGGGTCACACTCTCCTCCAGCCCCAGGAGGAGGAGACACAGGCAAGAGCGTCCTGACCCATGTCCCAGCTCTTTTGCCCCTCTACCACTTCTCAGACATTCCTTGCAGATGAGTCCCGAATGGATTTGGGACTGCAGGAATGGGCTCTGTCGTGTGCCCTTGACCACAGTAGTTGTGGAGATTGAGGACCAAGGTGGAAAGAGTGAGAGGGCAGACCTCGAGAAACTGCAGAGACAGCTCTGGAGTTGAGCAAAGATTCTAAGCGCAGTGACAAGCACAGGCGTGAGGGAGAAAAAGGATGAGCAGGAGGAATAACCACCCTGAGACACCACAGGGAGCTTCTTGCATGAATTACACACACACACACACACACACACACACACATACACACACACACAGGCATATATGCTTTTTCCCTGGTCAGAAGAGACATCCTATTAAGGCATTGGTTGCCTGGCAGGAGCACTTTGCTCAGTATTGGGAAAATTTGCCCAAACTTTTAACTGTTCCTGTGACTCTTAAAGAGAGTAAAAAATCGAGTTGAGAGTGAGGATTGAATGCGTTCTATAAATTTACTGAAATAAAATGTAAAAAGAAATATATACCATAGAGAAAAATACATGTCTGGAGTATGTAACAAGGGTCATTACACAAAATTGCCCGTGAGAATTAAAAATATATTTGCCCTAATAATACAAAACTCAATGAGCCCATCCTGAAGGTGAAATTTTCTGGAGGTCATGTATCTAGACATGGAGACTATTATCATGAAAATGTTTCACTATTTTGAGAGTAGCAGATGAGTGAACATGCAAATAAGACATGGGGCACATTAAAATATGAGCACAATTGACATTCTAGAAATATGTTATACTCTGTGAGATTTCAATATATGATGGAGGACATCGTCAGAATATTACTTGATGCAAATGAAAAGATGATTGAACTTTATGATGTAATAATCAGAAACATTCTTTGATACTGAGAGAAAAAGAATGAGAAATGACAGGTATTTGAGCTGCAGGACAGCATCCAGGGTCCAAATGTGTAAGTGATGACACTCGGGAGAAAGCTGGGAGGGAATAGAGGATAGGACAAGTATTTGGAAAAGAGAAATGACCAAAGATATTCCAAATTTGATAAAAACTATTCACATACAGAGCTTGAGATTCAGCAAACCAAGAGCTAAAGGGAAACAGGAACACAGCTCTACCCATGCAGGAAGGAACAGTTTAGGGAGAGACTCCCCAGTAGAGATCCAGAAAGACTCACCTGCACAGTGAAAACACGAGAACAGAATCCTCACGACAGCGATGCAGCAAGAGACAGAACAGAAAATGGTGAAGCTTCTAAATGAGACAAACCCTGAGCATCTGTCCCTGCAGCTGCTCTCACAGGAGCCAGAGGAGCGGTGGGTCCCATGAAGCAGGGCTCATGTGGGGAAGGACAGCTCCACTCCCCACGCAAACCAGGATAGGGAGGTCAGGCAGCAGGCAGCCAATGAGAAGTTCTCAGCTGTGAATGAAGATTCCAGGTGTAAATGAATTTGCAGCAGGGGAGGCTGGGGAGAGAGCCATCCCAGAGCAACTCTGCCTTTCACTCTTCCAGCCCAAGCATTTCTTAAAGATATGAACATGGGAACAAGAAAACAGCATGCAATTCTGTTTATGCTTATACAAATCAATAAGTTACTTCTGGAACAAGTTTTTATAGTTAGTGGGGATCATGCACATAAGCCAGTTGGTCCTCAGAGAATAGGAGTCAATTCTGGGAAGAAGTTCTCTTTGCAGAACTTCAAGCCTCCTGGATCTACGTCTGCAGAGTAAACAGGTACTCTCAGAAAACTCCAGCTGCCTTTAGGGCAGCAGGCCCCCAGAAAGTTCTCCCAGCAATGAGGGAATTATTGTAACATGTGACCATACTAATACTGTTCTTAAAGACAAGACATTCAGTACAATGATAAATTTCAATATGGGTGTCAGCACCCACATTTGTATTAGGCATCATTGAAAGGAATGACAAGTGTTCTTGCAAATTACTTCTATTGTGGTGCAGAATCCCTTTCAGAGAGAAGGTCAATCCTGTAAATCTCATGAAAATTTATTTTGGAATTGATCTGGATTTGGCTGATAATCAGGAAATGTTACTGAAGTTGGATGACTAGCCCTTCTCCACAGAGAGAACTTTGCCGAGTTCCCAAGCTCAGGTCACTTTACGAAAGTCCATTCTCCCAGAATGGTGATAACAACGGGTCACACACTGCACTGTGATTCAGAAATGACAGGTGAGGACTGGCCCTGAGGAACCAGCAGCCACTGAGGGGCAGGTGGAGTGGAGGAGACATCAGGGGAGGGGCTGTGTGGGGCGCTTGGCTGGGAGAAGTAAGGTTGGCCTGAGGTGGTGGCCCTGTCTAGTCTCAGTCACCTCTTTACACACAACTGGGATTAGTAGTGTGTCAGGGGTGTCTGTGCCCCGGGGGGCACAGGGGCTTCTTATGGGGTCCACATGCAGCATCTAAGCATGTGTCAGTGAGTCACACTGTACATTTTCAGCAGCAGGAGCCTGAGGACAAATACATTAGTTCAGGACATTAGCGGAAAGCGCACACATCACTGGCTATACCTTAAAAAAATACTCCTATGCCTACCTGACAGTTCTCCAAAAGCCAAGACCTTGACCTTGTTGGAGAATGAATCCTCATCCTAAAATGTCAAGAAAGGAGCCTGGCACGCAGAGTCTGACCAAGCATCCCAGGTCCCTGCACGTCCCACAACACAGCATCTGTGTTTTCTGCCACAGAGGGAGCAAATGAAGGTCCCCACCTTTGTGCACAGACAGACTCACATTTGACATGAAATCCGATTCCAGCACCGTGAGCATCTTAGTGTTCACTTCATAGACACAGGGTGGACAGATGCCTGAATACAGAAGCTGGGCCCTGATAATAGGCAACAGGAAGGGCCAGGAGAAGGAGGGAGATGGGATGAGAGAAGGAGGAAAATATGATACCCAAGTAGGGGAGGGCAGGATGGTGAACAATGGGCCATGAGGTGGGTATTCTAGCCTACCCCTTACTTCTGGGGTATTTAGAGATAGTTACTTACCCTCTCCCTATTTCCCCATTTAGTATAAGGGAGCAGAGGCTGCAGCTGGTTATTCAGAGTGTCTGGTGATGGGGCCCATGGCATCTGTCCAATCTCACTCACCATGATTCTTGAATCTTCTGTTCCAGGTCTCTGTGCTGTGCCTGTGCTGACCCAGCTCCCTTCTGCATCTGCCTCCCTGGGAGCGTCGGCCAAGTTCACCTGCACCCTGAGCAGGGAGCAGCGCTCCTACATCATTCAATGTTTTCAACAGCCACCAGGGAGGGCCCCACAGTATGCGGTGCATGTTAATAGTGCTGGACACAATGTCAAGGGGGTGGGGATCCCTGATTGCTTCTCAGGCTCTGGCTCAGGGGCTGACCCCTACTTGACCATCTCCAACATCCAGCTGAGGATGAGGCTGAGTATTACTGTGTTGTGGGTTATTCAGATGGTGAAGCCACAGACACAGATAAAGGAGAAGTGAGGCCAAAACCTCCCTCCCCCCAGGGCTATTCCCGCCGGGCTCAGGGTGAGCTACTCCCCATCTCACTGCAGGACCCTGAGATCTTGACTCTTCTCCTTCAAACCCTGTGGTCTCTCTCCTCCCCTGACAGCAGGACAGAGAGGGACACGGGTCATCATTGAGGTCATTTTGAGAACACAGCATCTATGTCCTCCAAAGGCATCTATGGGGTGATGCTGGGAGAGACAAGAAGGATCCTGATGCTGAGAGATGGTGGAGCTGATGGCCACATCCCCAAGGGTCACAGACCTGTGCCCACAGCATGAGCTCTGCTCAGGAAGAATGTGAAGTTCCAGAGTTCCAAGGAATTACCTTCAGCAGTGACCTGCCTCCTGGTCCCATGGAGGGAGCAGGACTCCTGTCAGGATTGAGGATAATCAGGAAACACCTGACTTTAGTGGAGGCTGGAGAGAGAGGACTGAATCCCATGGAGGGTGCAGACTGGGTGCAGTTGGGCACTGAAGTGCTTTCATGAGGTCTGCAGCAGAGCAATTATGGAGCACATCGAGTTTCTCTAATGAGGTATTTTCTCAGCTTTTGGAACCCAAAATGGCTCCACATCTGCCCACAGCACTTTCTAGGAACTGAGCACGGACATCTACTGGGAGTTCAGCTACAGGAATGCGGGAGAGTGGATGCTGACCTGGGAAAATGTGGACCCCACCTTGTCTCAAACTTGTGGGGGACCCACCTCTAATGCTTTGGTTGGGTGGGGAGCAGTTCACTGGACACACTGAATCTCCACAGCAGACATAGTGACTAAGTGACCCTGTCCCAGGCCCTGACCTTAGCTGGGTCAGAGGACATCAGACCTGCACGCCTGATGACTGTCCCGCAATTGCACAGCTCTGAGGGGAAAGTTCAAGAGCATCCTGGGACCTGGCTGACTCCCAAGGGGGCAGGAGGGGAGTGGGCGCTGGTTTTGAGGAGGCTGGACAAGGAACAAAGGAGCAGGACAAAATGGACATCAGGGCTGGGTCCTGCAGAGAGCCCCGACACCAGGGCCCCAGAGCTACCGGGTTATAGATGCTCCCCCACTCTCCCCAGTATCAGACCTGCCGTGACTGAGGATGCACAGTCTCTTGTCCCGAACAAGATCTGTCACAGACCTCTCTGGTGGGAGAATTCCTCCAGTCATTCCTCTGCAGGAGAGGGAGTCAGAGGACTAACATGCCTCACACGCTAACCCCACATGCATCACATACATCCATGCCCACCCAGGGCTGTGGGATTATCATTTGGAACAATATGACAGAGTAGCCTCTCTGGATGACAGGCAGAATGTAGACGTGATGACATGAATGTACAAGGGAGGCAGAGGAAGGTCATTCTCTGTCCTGTTAATGGTGCCCAACCAGGGAGGGAGCTGCCACTGCCCGTGCCAGGTCAGACGGGGAACAAGTGCCCATGATACATGATTCTCATGGTCAAGGTTATGACAGGGACTGGGGCAGTAGGAGACCACAGACAGCCCTTGACCTGGAAAAGTGACTGCTGAGCAGTGCGGAGGACAGGTGAGCTCACTTCTTTAACACAAGATCATCCTCTCTGATCTGTTTCAAAGTCCCATCCCCAATGATCCAGCCACAAGATAAGGAACAAGTGAGACATTTTACTGAATATTCTCCCAGGACCCTGTCCCCCCAGCAACCCCTCCCACAGCTCACCTCTCTCGACACCCCTGTCACATGGAGACTCACTTCTAGGAGGTCGAGAGTATGCACAGGACCCAAGAAACTAGTGATGCCTCTTCACTGTCATGCTAACAACTCCCATGGAAAAGGAAGAATGTTCTATGGGACCGGAGAGGACCCTGGAGACCATGGGCATCGCTCTACACTGTGACCCCAGAAGGAGCAGGCAGGGGGAGAGACAGTCTCGGGCCCCAGGGGACGGTTCACTGCCTGGGTGCTGGAGACAGGCCCCTGGGAGGAGGGTCAGACCCTGAGGGGAGGTAAGCACAAGGCAGCAGGTTCAGCCCTGGTGCTGGTGATGCCAGAGACAGAGGGTCCTAGAGGAGTGACTGCTGACACCCTGAGAGCAGAGGTCTTGGTGTGTACATGTCACTTTTCCTGGGCTTCAATAACAGAGAAGCACACACTGGGGGTTCAAAGGAGAGACTAGTGACCCACAGCACCGAGTTATCATCTGAGCTCAAGTTGTGATTAGGGTAGTGTGATTGCTGTGAGGAGAATCTGGTCCAGTTGTGTGTGCACCTTGTGGAGCTTAGTTGGCATTGTCAGTGTCCTTGGCTTGAATTTGACCTCCGTCTTCACAGGTGCTTCCTTTGCGATTGTGCTCAAATTTTCCTTTTCATCAGAAAAGCAGTCAAACGGGACTCGGGTCCCACCCTGCTCCCATTACTTTCCTTAGCTAGTTCCATCTGCAGTGATCTGGACCCAAATAGGCCCATTCTGACCTGGGAGTTAGAGCATCAATAGGAATTCTTTAGTGATCCAATTCAACCCGCAACACTGTGTCCTCCTCAGTCAGGCCCTCACTTACTGGGGGTGGACTCTGCTGGTGGGAGGTTACCACCAAGCTCCCAGGAGTCAGGTGGGCAGGACTGAAGGCCCAGAATGACCATGGTCCACCCCTCCTGGACATCCAGGCTCCACCCTGCTCCCACCATCTCATATGGACAAATATCTGACTTGACAGGGAGACCTCCAGCCTCCCGGTGAGGACAAAAGTGGGAAGAGAACCCCAAATCTCATTTGGAGTGGGGTTCAGGGCATTTGCAGTGTTGCTCGTGTCCGCAGAACACACTTACTGTTTCTCCTCTATCCTCAGGTCCTGTGTCTCTACTCAGCTCAACTCTGCTATGACTGTGGCGACCCTCAGAGTCCACTGCACACCCCTGTGTCTCTCTGCTCATGGAGGGATCAGAATCTAGGGGCCTTCCTGTCTTTTTTCACAGAGTTCC